TTAACTAAAAAATTCATGTATTTCATTGATGATTTCAGTAGTACATGGATGAAAGAGTTGGGTTCAAGAACCTTTTGTCCTTTGAAATACATCATTAAGATCACTTGTCACAATCCATCCATGTCGCCATCCAGGCACAACCCATCTACTGAGCCACTGAGCCAAAGACGCTCATCCGCACAAATTTTGCCAAAACGTCAAATGTGCATACACTTCATGTCATCTGCAATGACAAAGATGCCAAGCTTTTTTGCAGTCTCGGCAACCTAGAAAAAACAGAGACTACTGATCAAACACTATGACAATTCCCAATCACCAATCAAAAAATGAACAACTGAGTTAGTACTTGCCTTAATTAGCTATAGGTGCATGGGTTCCTTGGATTGACAATTACCATTGCAACCGTGTTTTTGTCAGCAAGAGCCTGCACTCCATCAAGATCAACCTCCTAGCTCTCTGGGAGAAGATCAAAGTACCTGACCTCCATGCCACTGAACACGTCGGGCACCTTCATAGAACAGATAGCCTGGCCTTGGGGACAAGATGTTGGCACGCTAGGACAAAGCAGATGATCTCAACATCATTGGCTGGTAGTTCATATGGCAAGTCATGTGATACGTATCACACAATAGACCTGGAATTCAACTTGAATTTTAGGATTTTTAATGCAGCTATGGCAAGGAAATTCTGTACCAGGATTGTTAACAGTAAACTAGTACAGTGATCTTTGTGAAATCAACACTATGTGAGCCTAAATTTTGTCAGACTCTTTAATTTGCTTCCCAGACATAGATGCCATGATGAGGACTGTTTGTTAAGAGTACAAATTCAGACCCACTCTGAAATTCAGGGTGGACCACATGATCACTTTAAGTCCTAACCCAGAGTTGAAATTTAAGGTGGACCACATGCACACTCCACAGTAGTCTGTCAAGTTTGTGATGCTTACTGATTCTGTTGTCAGTTAGTGGTCACACAGTGTTAGTCCACCAATGGTCTATCATGTTTGAAGAACCTAGTCACTTGACAAATCCAGTACCATTGCTGATTTCTCCCTTATTTTAAGGAAATAAGCTATTCAATTCCTTCAGACATTTTAGTTAAACTAGGAAGGTAGCCCGCACACATGCGCAGGCACCTTATGTAATGTTGCTTGAATTTTAATTATGAATACTTATATGTGGATGAGTATTTCTTAAAATATTCTTTTACTCTATTCTGAACATGTTTTAATCAATAATTCGTTTGAGATTGTTGTGAACGTCATTAATTTTCTTCTAATTACCTTTCAACATGTAAATTCTAAACCAAAATTATTTAAACCGTGTGGTTTTTAATTGATGAGAAACTATTGTGTCGCAACAATAGTGCTCCGTCACATGGAACTATTACGAGTCCCAAGTGTGTGTTTTTTTAGCAATTAGAATATCTTACTTTGGAGTTTATAAACCTTAATCAACAAATTTTCTTGTATATTATAGATGTCTTTATTTTATCTATTTAATGGCAAACTTCTATTTACTTCTACTCCTTATATTATGTGGAAAAAATGAATTTAGTTTGAAATAAGTGCGGAAATAATTAGTATGTTTAGAGAATTTATAAATATTTAAGCACCATAGACTAAAGTACACTTTTGTTAAGTAAGTTCTTGTTATGAAATGTATTTTTAATGCATGAATTCTCATATTTAACTTTAGTATGGTTTATGTTCCCTAATTAACCAAACTTAGTATATACAAAATACACCATACGTATTTAACTGAAATCAAAGGGGAAAAACATGACATGTACTCCATCCGTTATTTTACTTATTATTTAGGGTGTAGTCTACAAAACGTAGAACTTATACATGATTTGGTAAATAGAATGGACTCTTTAGATTATCCCCGTATAGTCCGAATAGATTGGAATCCACATGGCAAGTACATTTATATGATCATATAATCAATATTGTTAATTTTTATCATGATTTGATATAATTCTCAATTGCCATGTAAGGCCCCGGAAGTGAACTGCTACTTGTTGACATTGTAAATCTAATTTAGTCATGCACATTTGTGAAATGATATGGGCCAAATATAGTGCACCCTACATAGTAAGCATATTTATGTGATGATATTACATATATCATTAATTTTTTTTCACGATTTGTTATAATTATCAAATGCCATGTAAAGGGAAAAGACATGACATGTTTCTTGTTGATATTGTAAATCTAATTTAGTGGTACATATTTTTATAACCGATAAAGAATATATAGTGATATATACTCCATATTGTCATATTTTTTATAATTTTCATGTCCGTTTGGATTCCAGAAAAAGAATAAAAAAGTCCTAAAATATAATTTTATTTTACACATTAAAGTATAGTTAATATATATCATAAATTAAGTTAATGGTAAATAATATAATATAGTAAACTTTATTTTCAAACATCTTAGATCTAGTTTTAGTAATTTATGACACTATAACCTATGTTTTTCCTTTTTTATGTTAGATATAACGCAAAGGGTCAAATCATGGATCAAAATAATATTTATTATTATTTATAAATGAAAATATAGTAAATATGGATTGATTTAATTGTAAAGAATATAATTGTGGTCGAATATAAAAATTGTATATATAATTTAAAAGTTATAGTAGTATATTTATTATTTATATACTACATGTTATCTCAAATAATATATGGAAAAAAGGAGTTAAAGGATAGGGAAGAGGCGGTCCACATTATCTGCAATTAGTGAGCGTGGCTGCTAAGTTACATATGGTGGAACTTACCTACATAGGTTCAAGACCTAGACTTGACGTGGGCATCATATTTACGGCTAATTATTCTTGCAGTAGGCGATATTCTCATCGATAGCAAGACGCTTGTGGTGACTTTGTTAATTTGAAGATATATATATATATATATATATATATATATATATATATATATATATATATATATATATATATATCATTGGTTCAGTCTCTCGAATATGATTTCTATGGATAAGTGTACGTGTGTGTATATGAGCAGTTGTGTTGGTACTATATTTCTTTAAAAAAAAGCGGCATGCATTACCCTTCCAAAATGATTATCTAAAAAATCAATTAACAAATTTCTGGTGGCAAAGCACGCAGTGTCAAGGCGCCTTGACTAAGTGCTCAAAAATTAACTGACAGCACCCAAATACATGATATTAGTGAATATATTGTCCAAGGGGCAAGAGCTTTCAGCTTTGATATATCACTTTGTTGTAGAAGCTAGTAGCAACAGATCAGAATATGAACAACATCACCACGGAGTAGTATAAAATTGTAGGTAAAAAAGCGAAATTATATGCATAAAAAAACAGAGAAGTGGAAGGCTATGTTAAGAGATCAAACAATAAAAAGATGGAAGTTGCTTGCATCACTCACCTGTTTGATACGATTAGGATTATTTCTCACTTGGTTAATTTGTTGCTTCTTGTTCCTGAAAAGGATGTCGTTGATATTGGTTGAGAAAGTGGGCTAGAGGCGCATTGCTTTTTTTTCTTATGGCTTTACATCTGAAAATTTATTTGTTGATTTTTTTCGGGAGAGAAAGAGAAACAACTGATTCTCTACTTTGTTTACTCCTAATTAATTATTTTGGTGGGACCAAAGCATGCGACCATCATATATTAGGGAGGAGAGATGAAAATTTAATCTAGTGAGAATTAGCATCCGTGAAAAATTCATCAGGCCCTGGTAATCAAACAGATACAGGAAAATTCTGAAACTAACTACTGAGGGCAATATTCATGAATATGAACCCTGTAAATAGTTTAGAACAGTTAGTGATTTTCACCTTTTTTGATGCAAATGTGATATTCACTTAAAAAGTTTTCGATGGTACAATTTTTTTTTGAATGATGGAAGCACGCACCCAGGCTCCTGCATTAAATCCACAACGTCGGTTTTCTTTCCAAGAATTAATTATGCGGTGATTTTTTAGGAGAGAAACAACTGATTCTATGCATTTGATTGCTCCTAATTATTATTTTGGTGGGACCAAAGCAAGCAACCATCGTCATATATTAGGGTGAAGAGATGAGAATTTAATCTGATGGTAAAAACTGATGGGTCTACCTAGTTAAAGTGAAAATCGATGATTAGATGTTTATCTAATTTATTAGAGTGCCACTTGATGGCTTGGAGTATTTTTAGGAGTGCCATGTGTCAACTTAGGAGTGTTTTTAGCTAGGATGTTTCATGAACTTTTAGTATATAATATAATAGATAGATAAACTCCCTCCATCCGATAATATAAGGGATTTGACTTTTTGCTTGCACTATTTGACTATTCGTCTTATTCAAAAAATTTTGGAATTATTATTTATTTTATTTGTGACTTACTTTATTATCCAAAGTACTTTAAACATATTTTTTTATTTTTTATATTTGTATAAATTTTTTAATAAGACAAGTAGTTAAACATTACAAGTAAAAAGTCGAAAATCCCTTATATTATGCGGACGGAGAGAGTACGTCTGTACCCGCCCTTGACGCTAGGCAATTTTCTGACAAAAACCGGCAGCTTGGAAGAAAAGAATACTCGTAGGTCGCTAGTCAGCTAGTCGCGGAGAAATTTTTTATTTTTCCACAGATGAGATTAATTTCCACCAGCGAGCGAGCACGTACGACATGGAAATTAATCAGCTCGCGATTAAATTTCGGATACTCGTGACACGCTTTACAAACTATTAAACGGTACGTTTCGTGTGAATACTTTGTATATCAAAGTTAATCTAAAATACCAGATTAATCCATTTTTCAAGTTTGTAACAATTAAAACTCAATTAATCACACGTTATTACCACCTCGTATTGCGTGAAACACTTAATCGTTTATCTTCATGAGATTCAAACACCACCAATTTTATCCACTAGACAGACTGTACGCACAGGCTCCCGCAGCGCAGCTTCGTCTGATGGTGGGTTAAAAAGCCATGGACTGTGTTAGTGAGTACGGTTTCATGTTCTCTAAAACTGGTCGATCGATTCGATCACCGGAGATAGCTACACCATGAGCCTCCTCACTGCCATGTTCTTGTCCCTTGCCATCACCACCACCACCACCACGGTACTGTTGCTACTGACACCGGCAGCGGCCACGGCGTTGCAAGTGATGATGACGCAACTCCGGCGGCCGTCCGGCTCCGGCGGCTGCTTCCCAGGCGAGATGGACGCGCTGTTGGAGTTCAAGGAAGGCATCGCCGACGACACGACAGGCCTCCTCGCGTCATGGCGGCCGGAAGATGGCCAAGACTGCTGCCGGTGGACAGGCGTCCGTTGCAGCGACCGCACGGGGCATATCGTCAAGCTTAACCTTGGCAGCAGGGAAAGCATCAACCCGTTTGCAATGAGATTGTTCGGCGAGATAAGCCACTCTCTGCTTTCTCTTCACCATCTTCAGCACCTCGATCTCAGCCACAACTCACTTGAAGGGCCAACCGGCGATATGCCGGAGTTTCTGGGCTCTCTGAAAAGCTTGAGATATCTTAATCTCTCTGGGATCCCTTTCCATGGTCTGGTGCCTCCTCACCTCGGTAATCTTTCCAACCTGCGAGTTCTTGACCTCTCTTACACAGCAAATAGTTACTCACCAGATATATCATGGGTAACACGCCTACGACGATTACGGTATCTCAACATGGGAGACGTCAACCTTAGCATGGTATAGTAGTTGATTGGCCTCATGTGGTGAATATGGTTTCTTCCTTGAGGGTACTTGATCTTACTGGTTGGGAAACTCTTTTCTGCACCTAGGCGGACTACCGCACATCTGCTTCAAGATTCGCACGTACCTATACGAGGCGGAATGTATATAGTGTTCTGAGGAGGTATTTTACCAGTAAATCAGATTTTAGAGAATACACCTAGGGGCCCACATACAAAAGAGCTACACGACGCATGTGGTCCCAACCATGCGTACGGATCGATCCACACCCCGTCCCAGTTTTATGCATTTTTTCCTCTTTTTTTGTTCGCTCTCTCTGTCCCTTTCTATCCCCCATCCCTTCGTCTTGTCCACAACCAGGACGCCGCCGCCATGCCCTCCTCTTGATTGACACCGGCGATAGCTGAACTCCGGCGACTTTGGCGGATCTCGCCGGAAGAAATCGGTCCCTCCCCTCCCCCCCAAACCCTACACAAACATTCCTCCCCTTCCCCAATCCGCACACCAGAGGAACCCATACAAGATTAGACGCATAGATTGTGTGGAGACGACGGCCAGGAACACACTCGCGCGTTTTGCTGTGTGTCAAATAGTGGACGCCGCCTTCTCTTTGTCATTTTTTTTATTTTTTTATTTGTTTTTCCTCGGAGGGGATTCTGATTGTTTTTTTTTTTTTCTCACCGTCGCACCGCAGGAGTGTTGTTATCACAATGAACACCACCGGCCAAACAGCGGCCAAACCGGGGATGAGACATGCACAAGCACCAGTTGCTGTCGGTCGAGACTCGTATCAGTCTGAAGCAACCCCCCTCCCAGGCGCCAACGAGCCGGAACACCCAGTCGGAACGTACCTGAAGTATGGGGGGCGACTAGCAGGAGTTCACCAAAGCATGCTGCTGAGTTGATTGGCAAATTTGACAAAGAGAAGTCTGATCTGGTACGCAGTATTGGGTTTGGCGGATTGCTTGAACTCCCACAGATAAATGGCATCGACAGAAGATTCACCAGATGGCTACTAAGCAGAGTAAATTGCGACAGCAGGACTCTAAGGGTGGGGAACAACCTTGATGTGGAATTAAGTCCAAGGAATGTGCATAGGGTTCTTGGGATACCATTCGAGGGCATGGAGGTGTGTCCAATGCCGGATAACTCGAAAGATGAAAAGGATTCTTTTGTACAGCACTACATTGGGGCTCCAGGGTTTGAGGCCAGCGCTTTGAAGGGTGCAGAGGAAGTCATCAGGAGGACATTCCCCGATGGGATGAACTCATGGTTCAGAACCGCTTTTGTGGTTTGGATTGTTGGCACGTTTCTTGCGCCAAAGACGTCTCATAAGGCTCTACTCAGAAAATCCAAATATGTACGAAGGCAACAATGGTCTTTGTGGGCCTCCTCTTCGGAAAAACTGTTCCAGCGGCGAACAAGGTCATTTAACAATAAATAATGGCCAAGACCATCAGCTAGAGCCTTTTCACTTTGGACTTATTCTGGGATTTATATTAAGTCTCTGGGCCGTCTTATGCAGCCTATTATTCAAGAAAGCATGGAGAGTTGCTTTCTTCGACCTCTGTGACAAGCTATATGACAAGACATATGTTTTGGTGGCCGTTTCATGGGCAAGATTCACAAGAAAGGCAGCCGCAAATTAAGTACTATATCCTCCGTTTCACAATGTAAGACTTTCTAACATTGTCCATATTCATATAGATATTAATGAATTTAGGTATATATATATATATATGTGTCTAGATTCATTAACTTCTAAATATATATGAGCAATGCTAGAAAGTCTTACAATCTGAAACGAAGAGAGTAGCTAGTACATCTGAAATAAGGAGTTTATCCAATGTTTATGTCTTGGTGATGTAACAATAAGTATCGATGTATTGTAATAGGGTTGTTCTCATTTCTATCGTCGTCAGTCGTGATGGACCTGATGTATTTTTCAGATAGATTTGCTGTGTTAATCGTTTATATAAGTAGAAAGGTAGCCTACGCATACGCGCAGGCAATTATTTAATGTTGCTTGAATTTTAATTACGAATGTTTACGTGTAGATGATATTTTTAAAATAGATCTTAACTATATTTTAAACATATTTTCGTAAATATCTGATTTGGACATATTTACTTGAAACCGTAAAGCCTTGAATTTATGAGAGCAACATGTGTCACGATAATGGAACAATAATGAAATAGTGTAGTTGTTTCATATCTGTTTGTACTGTTGTTTGACGGTATTTTGTACATATTTATAAAATATATATATATATATATATTGCGTGTTTTAATGGCCATTTTCAGGAACCGGTTTAGCTAGCAATGCCAATGTGCTAAGACAGCTAACTAAATATTGATTCATGCATGAGTCATGCTCGTACTTGGCATATGTCCATCTATATGGCCTATATATACATGTGTGTGTTCAGCCATATGTACATGCTTGGCTATACATATATACACGTATGCATGCATGAGAGCAAATAAACCAGCTAGCAAGAGGACAAGATCGAGGCTGATTATTTCACACGTCTATATATATGTGCATGGACGTTTACGTGAAACTGTATGCGGCCGTATTGCATGGATTGGTCTACGTATATATATACGGGTAGCTGGAACCATCTGCAACTCGATCGGTCGCTACGTACAGCAATACACACACATGGGCCGATGGGCTCTGATTACATGGGCCAGCTGTATATGTGACCGTATATATACTCCGGCAAGCGGGCAAGGTGGACGCGTATGCAGGCCTCCATCGATATCGATCAACAGCAAAACTAAACAACCAAGAGATCATGTTCTTATCTCTATCGATGGAAACAACCAGATAAGCTTTATCTCCAGAGATATCGGGGCTGCTTGTTGGCAACGACGCCGCGCGCTACTCGCGGCCACCACCGACCCATTGTGCCTATAAAAGGCACAGCTATCCTCAGCTATGACGGGGGGCTTCAAGAGAGATGGAGGGGAGCACAGGAGGCGTAGACGGTCTCACCGGCGCTGCTACTGGCGACGTCCATGGAGGACGACGGAGGCAGCCAGGCGGGCAGCATCGACATATATTCATCCGACTCTCGCCGAGAGCATCGAGACTCATCCACCCCGACCCGTCGCCGTCATCCACATTCATCAACATCCATCTCAGAGGGACTCATCTATTCATCTACAATCACTCAACCCCCGTCATAGCAAGAAGCGACATCAAGGAGGATCAGTCCGGCAAGTCGACACCGGCCGACCGCGCGCTGTGTCCATCTACATCAACACCTTCCGTCGGCTGGGGAGCAGGATCGCGAGGAAGAACAGCAAGCTAATGGCCACTACTGGTAAAGCTAAGAGCATCTCCAAATTTGACTCTCCAAATGTCTATTTCGCCAACTCTCCATTTAATTTAGCAAATCAAACTGTCTTTTTACTCCAACAGCCTCTTCATTCGTCCTCTCTATTCTGAGTCTATGACAATTGGACCCATACGTCAGCCTCTACACCTCCTCCTTCTCCCTCATCTTTCTCCTCTTCTCTCCAAACCCCCCTTCCCTCTCCCATCCGCCGCCGCCGCCTCATCCCCATCCCCACCACCGCTCGGGCTGCGTCGCCATCCACCGCCGCCGCCGCCGCTCGGGCTCCGCCCGCCGGTGCCACTCTCTTCGCCGGCGGTGGTGCAGCGATGCGAGGAGGCGTGCGGCCGCGCGTGGTGGTGCGGCAACGCGGGGAGGCAGGAGGCGAGATGCCGGCGGCTCGCGACAACAATCTCGACGCCGCTCAGGGTGGAGCTCGGCAGCGGCGGCTCACGACGACCTCGACGGCGGATCTAGAGGGGGGCAGCAGTGGAGCTCGGGGCGGAGCACGGCGGTGGCGGTGGCAGTGGCTGGCCGCGGCGACGACGGGGCGGCAATGGTCGACTACAGCGACGACGGGACGGCGGGGCCGGCCGCGGCGACGACGAGGCGACGGCACCCTCGTGGCCTCGTCACATGTGCGTGCCGCACTGCCGCGTGAAGAGAGAGGGGGAAACAGGCGTGGGTCCCATATATGGCTAGCCGGTTTTGGCTGGTCAACTTTGGCTAGTCTGGTGGGGAATTTAGCCAGCCGGATGGCTTGGAGAGGCATTTGGCTACTCTGTTGGAGCAAGTTAGCCAAATTTTAATTTGGAGAGCCATTTAGCTAGACTCTTGGAGATGCTCTAATTAGATTGGTTACTTTCTTTTGGTTCCAGTGCGTACGTGCATGCATGGAGGACGGCCGGGTGTGCTGCCATCGCCGGAGTCGTCGTGTCGACCGATCTGTTGGTGCTGATCGATCGCAAGCCTCCGTCAAGATCGATGCCACTCGTCCTCAGGACTGAGCTCATCTGTTTTTGCTGCCGGTGATGATTCTACTCGTTGCGACGATCTTGCCGAGACGCTGGACGTCGCCGCCTTCGCTAACTGCTGCCTCTACTCGGCAACACCACCGGCCCGTCGCCACGCAGCGAGGACAACGCACCACGTCGTGCTGCCGGGAATCGTCCGAGCAACCGCGGACGTCAACAAGCCGTGCCAATCCACGGAATCTCGCCGGAGAAGACGATGACGCCGCTCCTTCTAGGACGATCTCATCTAACATTGTCCAGTTCTTCTCCTGTTTATCTCTCTCTCTCTGTATTTCAGGCTTTCAGCAATCAGCACATATATGCATCACACCATGTCATCGTGGAGCTGCGGCCGGAGTCATGCATGGCGTCACTCGCGAGGGCAGAAGGCACAGATGAAGGTCATGGAGGAGAAAACCATCGGCGTCTTGCTCTGACAGCCGCCCCGCCTACGCAACCTCGCCGGAGCCGCCGTACAGGATCGGCCCTGCAATAGGAGATCTCGCCAGCAATAGGAGTGGTGCACGCCGGCAACGACTCAGGACGAGATCGAGATCAAGAGCGGCGTGCTTCATCGCGGCGCCGACGCAGCCTCGCCGGAGCAGCCGGGCAAGACCGGCTCAGCGGGAGGAGGCCTCACCAGCGACCAGGAAGCCGGCGCTAAACCACGGGCATCGGCAATCTCCGCACCATGGGTATAGCCTCTTGAGTCTCTTTGTTTTCTTCTCTTTCGGTTCAGGTCGTCATGCATGCACGAGATGGCGACGAGGCGAGTTGCTGCCGGCTGCTGCTTCCTCCTGGAGATCGTGTCGTTCCCTCTCGTCGGAGACGCCGTCCGCCGATGACACGTCTATCTGCCGCCGGGACGTCCCCGCCTCGCCGGTCACGAGACCTCTACCTCGCGACGTCTCTACCCGGCGACGTGATGCTGTCGAGACATCGCTTTGCCAGTTGCAGTCTCTTCGCGACATCATCGATGCTCGCTTGCTCTCGCGGACTTGGCCATTTTCCTCACGCTCGTCCTCATTCCTCACGCTCGAGGAGATCGCCGGTCGGAGCGCCGCTACCCGGAGCCCGCACACCGTCGTCGTGTCGTTCGGCTACTACGCCTCTGCTTCATCGCGCCGGACTTTGTGATGCCATCTGTCCGCGATGTCTATTCTTCACCGAGTCGCTGTGAGACACTGACTTGTCATGCCCTCTGTCCGCGATGACTATTCTTCGCCGAGTCGCCGAGGCGCTACCAAGCAGCGCTCATCTTCGTCGACTAATCATCATCATCAGCCGCCCGCTGAAGAAGGCCATCGTGATGCTACCCAGCCGGAGTGTGCCGAAGATCACCGGAGTCGTCGAAGATCGCATCTACCTGGTGCTACCACTAGAACGGGATCGCTTATCTATGACGGGCTGAAAGCATCATCATTGTCGGGTAAGGCCCCCGTCACTGGGCAAAGGTCACTGATGTGAGGAAAAATCTCAATCGGGCAAAAGCCCGTCATGGATGGATGTTATCTCAATCGGGCCAAAAACAAAGCCCGTCACAGATGAGTATGATCAGTCAAACCAGCGTAGTTAGGAGTCC